AAATTTATATATGCGCGTGATTGAACGCATGTATGATTGCCTGCATCTGTATTTATTTAATTCATAGTTATATATATAAATATATATATATATATATATATATATATATATATATATATATATATATATATATATATATATATACATGAGTTCAATCACGCATATATAAATTTACAAATATTTTATTTCATTTTTGGTGTTAACAGTGCTCACTGTGGTAATAAATAACATATATATATATATATATATATATATATATATATATATATTACACTCACGTCGAAAGTAAGACTTGGAGCTTTATGTTCAATGCAATCTTCAGGTTCTTATAACGTTGATGAACTGTTCGATAAATTCGTTATTATTTTCAAAAAATTTCTAGGCCTCATGGAAGCAACGGTATATACTATATTAATTCTATATTATATAATTAGAATCTAATATTGAGGTGTAGGTCCGGATTCAAGTTACAAAATTATAGGGTGAGGATTAAAAAAAATAAACAAAAAAAATAAATAAAATAAATAAACATAAAAATTGAAGTCGACGATTATTTAATAAAAAATTTGTTAAACATAAAGGCATAGAGTATGATGGGGACAGATTTATATAGATAAATAAGTATAGAAAAGTATTCCCAAGCCTATAGCTGTACCTCCAAATGTTAAGAATACTACAGAGAGAACATGCGAACAATGGGGAAGTTTTACGAAACAATAAAGAAACTTTTACTTGCAATTAGAAAAATGCAGTTGAAATAAAGAAAAGCTATTAGTAAGGAATCATGACCGCCTGTGTCTTGAAGTGGGGAATTCCACTTAAAGATTAAAGATTGGGATGATCAGACTGGATAACGGCTTGAATTAAGAAATCGGAGAGTTCTAATTCTGGTTGGTTTTTTTTTTACGGTATATCGACCTCAATGGGTTATTTAATGCTGACAAGATTTTTATTGCTGCTAATATGTTTTATCTATCTATCTATCTATCTATCTATCTATCTATCTATCTATCTATCTCAGTATATATTGGTTTGGTTTGGTTCCTTTTACGGCATATCAACCTCAATGGGTTATTTAATGCTGACATGATTTTTATTGATGCTAATATTTTTTTATCTATTTCAATATATATATATATATATATATGTGTGTGTGTGTGTGTGTGTGTGTGTGTGTGTGTGTGTGTGTGTGTGTGTGTGTGTGTATTGGTTTAGTTTGGTTCCTTTTACAGTATATCGACCTCAATGGGTTATTTAATGATGACACGATTTTTATTGCTGGTAATATTTTTTTTTCAAAAGTGTATTCCTGCTAATATTTTTCTTCAAAAATGTATTGCTGGTAATAATTTTTTTAACAAAAATGTTTTGCTGGTATTAAAACATTTAACACGTTTTGAACCTAGTTTGGGGGTCAACTATTTGCCCATTGCTGGAACCCTAACAGGTGCTACCACATCAGGTCTGGGTGGACCTGGGAACACCACCAATTAAGAGTTGGTTCCATGCTCCTAAAAAACTCCTGATCAGAGACTATCGGATGTAGTTTATCGTCTTATCCAGGACGCGGATGTAGTTTATCCTCTCACCCATGACGCGGATGTAGTTTATCGTCTTATCCAGGACGCGGATGTAGTTTATCGTCTTATCCAGGACGTGGATGTAGTTTATCGTCTTATCCAGGACGCGGATGTGGCTTATCGTTTATTGTCTTACCCAGGACCTGGATGTGGTTTATCGTCTTACCCGGGACCCAGGACCTGGATGTAGTTTATCCTCTCACCCATGACGCGGATGTAGTTTATCGTCTTACTAGGACCGGATGTGGGACCCAGGGGTGTGGTTTATCCTCTCACCCATGACGCGGATGTAGTTTATCGTCTTATCCCTCACCCAGGACGCGGATGTAGTTTATCGTCTTACCCAGGACCCGGGTGTAGTTTATCCTCTCACCCATGACGCGGATGTAGTTTATCGTCTTACCTAGGACGCGGATGTAGTTTATCGTCTTACCCAGGACGCGGATGTAGTTTATCGTCTTACCCAGGACCCGGGTGTAGTTTATCCTCTCACCCATGACGCGGGTGTAGTCTATCGTATTACCCAGGACGCGGATGTAGTTTATCGTCTTACCAATGACACTCTATTTCTGTTCGGTTTTGTTCCAATCACTTATGCACTTGCGAAAGTTATGAATCCGTCTCTACTCAGCTATGTGTTGTATAGCAGGACAAACCGAGTCCTATAGCCATGGTTGTCGACCAGTTTATCACAGATAGAATCGGCAGCCTACTGTGGGAATATCTAGTCAGTCATGAATCGAAAAAGACATGATCGCCCAAGCATGTATTGCGTGTGTCACTTAACTGACTGACTCAGTGTAAACAAACTATATATGTAGTAAAACAAGCAAGAGTGGACTCAAGGCAAGATTTGAAATACGTGACACGGAAAAGAAATTACAAAATCTCCTACAGAAGGTAGCGAAGGAGAGCGAGAA